AAAATTGATAGAGAAAGACATGTGACATTGTCCTTTAGCCTCCATGTGCACACAGGTACATGTGCACACAAGTGCATGCTCTGTGTGCATACATGGACATGTGCATACACCATCCACAAAAGAAAAAAAAGCTAAGGGCATGCCAGGAAAAGCAAACAAAGCAGGGGAGACTTGAGCTCTGTGATAGGAGAGACACAGAGTGCAAGGGAGCCCCACCTGGCTTGCAGAGGTCAGCGAGAGATCAGAGACAAGATTAGACTAGGATGCCAGTCAATAAAAAAGCAAGGAGCGGGAAGGAAGGAGAGTGTGAAAATAAGCAAATCTTCATGATTAAAATGAGTAGAATTCTAAACTGCCCATGGTGCACTACACACACAGGCAAAATACTCATGTACATAAAAAAAGACATATTTTTCAAAGAAAATGCACTAGACAAGAGACCATGAATTCTGAACTCTCAGACTGGCTGCAGTATAGGGCAAAGCTTATTGTTAGTGTGCAGGACCCCGTTTCTGTCCTTACTACAGATATGTTCACTTCAGCTAATGGAGGAGGCAGCTCCTGTAGTAAAAGCCAAGCCCACAATCTCCGATCTGAGTGTTACTCAGTTAGCGTTTACTCCTCCCCGTTGTTTCCAAAGGGTACTGTTTCTAAACTTGGATAGGGCTTGGTAATGGTTTCCTCCTTGGCTGCTTAAGGTTTCAGAGATGGGGCGGGAGTGGTCCTAACAAAATCCCTTTTATTCCTATTGAATTTAATCCTACCTGTGGTGAAAGAGTAGCCCTAGGTCTCTATGTTTAAAGGACCAACAACAGGCCTGGCTCTTCTGAAATTCTACTCATCCCCTTCATTTCCACTCAGGCCCAAATCCAGGAGCCAAGGGAGAGAGACAATCTCCCAGAGAAGGGGGGCCTGAGTACTAAACCTGATATTCTTCTTAATGAGAGTAGATAAGAAGAATAGGTAGCATGTATGAGGTTGCTACTATGTAACTACTCTGTCAAAGTAGTTAATTATAAAAAAAAAACCCTTTGGGGTTTGATATCTGGGATTAGGTAGCACTTTCCAGTCTCTGCCTTCCACTACTTCACTGTATGTGTTATTTTTTAATCAGGGTTTTTTTTCTTTTACCTTCTGCAGAATTTAGATGAAATTCTTAATAGGTTGTTATTCCTGAGCCATTTGGTTCAGGTATTTTTATAGACCACTTTAACTATTCAAATGTTCCTTAATACCACAGATGGGTTTTTGATGTTGAAGATTAGTGTGTACATACAAAGTTATTTCCATTGCTGCCATAGTAAAATGGCAGGTTAAGGAGTCCGAAGTGCAAGACACCAAGGTTTTGGAGACACTCTCCCTACAGTTTGAGAATCCTTGGTTTCAAGGGAGAAAAATTCATCTAAAATTAAATATGCACTTTTCACAGACCAGGCAAAGTCATTTTTTAAATGCTGGAGCTTAATTTACATTGTTTGTCATTTTAAAAAATATTTTTCCTGTCTCTTGAAATAGATATAAGTAAAGGCAGAATTATATACTACTTTTACCTCTTTATTGTTTACTTTCCATCATATATTGTAATTTTCTCCACAAGTAAATTAGCTCAAATCTATCAAAAGAAACAATCCTCCCAATAGACCTATGAGTTGGTTGAATTTTTTTTGTCAGCTTGACACAACTTAAGAGTTATCCAGGAAAGAGACCCCCTCAATTGAGAAAACACCCTTTTCAGATTGTCTGTAGGCAATTCTGAATGCAACTCTTTTGATTTATGATTAATATGGAAGGGGTCAGTCCATTGGGGATAGTGTCACTCCTGGGCAGGTGGTCCTGAGCTTTATTTAAAAAAAAAAAAACAGGCTGTATAGAATTTTCCTTTACAGCCTGTCTGGGCAGGTGGTCCTGAGCTTTATTAAAAAAAAAAAAAAAAAAAAAAAAAAAAAAAAAAAAAAACAGGCTGTATAGAATTTTCCTTTAGCCGGGCGGTGGTGGCGCACGCCTTTAATCCCAGCACTAGGGAGGCAGAGGCAGGCGGATCTCTGTGAGTTTGAGGCCAGCCTGGTCTACAAGAGCTAGTTCCAGGACAGGAACCAAAAGCTACGGAGAAACCCTGTCTCGAAAAATCAAAAAAAAAAAAAGAATTTTCCTTTACACTGTGGGAACATATGTTGCTATGCTTGATTTAATAAAGAAGCTGACTGGTCAATAGCTTGGCAGGATAAGGTTAGGCAAAAGAGCCAAACTGAGATTGCTGGGATGAAGAGGGGCAGAATCAGGAGTCTCAAGCAAATGCAGAGAGAAGCAAGATGGACATGCTCTACTGAGAAAAGGTACCAAGCCATGTAGCAAAGTGTAGATTAAAAATATGGGTTAACTGAAAATATAAGAGTTAGCTAGCAATAAGCCTGAGCTATTGGCAAAGCATTTATAATTAATATTGAGTCCCTGTGTGAGCTATTTGGGAACTGGATGGTGGGAAAGAAACTTCTGCCTACAAGGCTGAACAAGTCATAGAGAGCAGGACAGTAAGCAGCACTCCTCTGTGGCCTCTGCTTCATTTCCTGCCTCCTGATTTCTGTCTTGAGTTCCTGCCTTGGTTTCCCTCAGTTGACTGTGACTAGGGATGTATAAGCTAAATAAACTCTTTTTCCCCAAGTTGCTTTTAATCATGGTCTTTATGATGGCAATAGAATAGTAAACTAAGACAACCTAGAATATAGTTTCTTGCTAATTTTCTCTTTCTAGTTTATGAAATCCTTGACAGTAGCAGTTGCTCATTTAGTAAAGGAAGAAATTATTTCACTTTAATAACTTTTATTCCCCCCATAGATTGTAAGCTAAAAATGACTTTGGGTGCATTACCTCCAGCTTTTTGTGAGAAGTTGGTTTTGTTGTTGAAGTTTTATAACATCACATAATTATATGGTTTTAGATTAGGGACAACCACTAAGGCTCACTTCATGTAAAAAGAATTGGAGTGACCAAGCAATATTCCAGTATCTACCTTCAAGGTCCTTGTGAACTTGCATGTATCGTCCTGTGATCAGCTTTGGCTACTGAGAAACTAAAAACATACACAATTCTGGAAAGCAGAGGACTCCACAGAATTCATCCTAAAAATATAGTATGAAAGTTGAGCAAACACTAATAATTAATACAATCTTTCAAGTAAATGTCTAAAGCTGGAAATGTTCATATTGTATGAATGGATACTTGGAGACATTTTACATAGAACTTTGCAAGGCTGAACAAACATGTGACTTATCTGAGCTTTGTCTATCATATTTCTTGTCCAAGAACCAACCAAACACACATTTTCTCTTTGTTTGTGCATTTAGCTATGCTGTACACTGAGTTAGGCACAATACAGTTGGGTGATAAGAAGGTTCCCACAAGGAACCCATTTTTCTCGCTGACAACCAGGAAAAGACAAAAGGATAATATTCATCACTGACAAGGCTTGCTGCGCTAGTGGGGTTTGAAGGGGTGGATTCTGCTCCGTTGTTGTTTTGCTTTGTTTTGTCTTTAAAATTGAAGCCTTTGATTCTGTGAAACTCTGTTTTAAACAGGTCTAGGTAAGTCTAAAATAGATGTGATTAAACGAAATATAATCACAATAACCTAGACGCTTTGTGAGTTTCCATTGCCTTGTGATCAGTGGTGCAGAGATCTGCAGATAGCGAAGTACTAGGCGGATGCTGACCTGCGGCGGAGGAAAGCTGTTACCAGAGGAACTTTATATCCCTCTATACACGGAGAGAGGAAAGAAAGAAATGTCTCCTCTTATCTGCTTAAGATCTGTTGCTCGTAAAATTTTACTTTGTCTTGCATAAATTTCAGGAGGAACCTATGCACTTCAGCTATATTGCATGCAGCCCAACTAAACGCACTGGGGAAACTATAACTAAATACCACATACTGGGAAATCAAAGCGCTTCTTTTTAAAGATGGACACACCACCCAAGGGGCCACAATTTAGGGTCCCCCATAGCTACTCATCCCACTCTATCAGGCACCTGATCTTCTAGAGCAACAGATTCAGTGAGGGAAGGAGAAGGTGGAGGAAAGAGGAGACAGAATTAGAGCGTCAGGATCCCTGCAGAACAGGAGCTTGGCACAGAGTGATCCCTTCCTCACCCCTGGCCAAAGCAGGTGAGCGCTTGCAAAGCACTGGATCTTCGCAACAGCAGGTTAAAGAGCAGGGCTTTTAATGCTTGCCTTCTCCCTTTCTGATGTTGTTCTAAGAACACCTTTCCCGATTTGATCGCTGACTTGGAGGACGTCCAGCTCCTGCCCAGAAAGCACCAACGAAATGGGAAACTGTGCAGTTGGTAATACTTATCACAAGAAAAAAAAATCAAGCAAGTAAATTGCTGTGCCCTTGCAAATGTGCCTGGCTATATCCAAAAGAGCAAACTTTCTTAAAGATGCAGCTTGAGTGGCAAGAGCTCTGGGGCCGACCCGTGGTCCAGCAGTGTCCCTACTCCAAGGACCTTCGCAGGCTGTTTGGGTCCCTCCAAGTGCAAGGCGCTCCCAACGTCTTCCTCAGACCCTGAAACCTGCCGGTGTCAGGCAGAACCCTCCTTGGAAAAGTCCAGACTCTAGATGACACTCAATGTCGAGGCAATCAAGCAGCTCCTTTTAAATAGCCCAAGATCTACATTTAGACAGAAACACATTCCAGTTCCCGGTAAATGCATTTCTGCTCATCCTGTCACTTGTGACAGGAACGGAGGGAAACAGACTGCGGGAGAGGGAGACAGGAGAGGCAGAGGAAGGACGAGAGAGGGGGAGACCAGACGCGGGTGGAGACGTGAGGGAGGGGCGGAGACTGAAGACTGGGCCCGGAGGGGACGGGGGAGGGGATGAGAGAGCGAGAGGCGGAGGGGCCTGACGAATATCCGCGCCCCGGCGCAGCGCTCCGTGGTTCTAATTAAAGCGGCGCTCGGAACCCGGGGGACCCGCCTGACGTCGGCGGTCGCGGGAATAAGAAGCGCCCGAGGACAGCGGGACTCGGAGCAGCAGGGTCTGCGCTGTCCCCGTAGGAGCCGTGCGTCCTGTGTCCCTGCGCTGGACAAGTGGAGCTGGAGCTCCTGAAGTAGTGTCGGAACTGGGGGGACCGAGGAGCGCGGCAGGCGTGGAACCTACGGGGTGGGCTCGGGTGCCCGAGGGCAACGTGGGACCCACTGTGTCGGCGCAGGTGCCCGAGGGCAGTGCGGCACCCACAGCTGGCAGGTGCCCTTGCCTCTCCAGTCCAGGGTGGCCCTCCTGCTCCGCAGCTCCAGACCCGATCCCGGGCTGCACCTGTGGCCTCCGATCTTGGAGAAGTGTCCAAGCCCCCGCGCGCGGTTCCCGCGGTGAAAGAAAGTTGTGCGGCGGCGCGGTCTCCGCGTGCGGGAAACTTGGACTCCGGCTGGTGGGGCGGCGGGTCCCAAGACCCGCAACGCAGGCCACCGGGGCCATGCGCGTGTCAGGGCGCCCGCTGCTCCTTGTGCTGTTGCTGCTGAGCATGGTGGGGGACCGGGGACGCGCGCAGCCCCGGGGGCCTGCAGACCGGCAGACACTGCTGAGGTTGCTTGTTGAGCTGGTCCAGGAGCTGAAGAAATTCCACACTGGAGACAACAAGAGGCTGCAGCTCCTTGGCGAGACCGACTTTGCCCTGGGCCGCAGGGAGGCCACGGATTATGGGGCAGACCCAGAGGAGCAGAGAGTGGGTGAGTGTTACTCAGTGTAGACATGAGCTCAGCAGTGTAGACCATAATACGAAATAAAGTAAGGGAGGGTTCTGGCATCGTAGATTTGAAAGGCAGAAAGTGGTGAGTGTCTGGCAGTGTAGATCTATGAGGATAGAAAGAGTGTGGAAAAGGGAGCCCCAACCCTGTGAGTCTGAGGACCAGGTTAGACCACAAGGGACAGAAAGTTAGTGAGATTGAGCTGTGACCATATGGGTCAGTGGGGTGGGGGGTGGATGAGGATACAGGCAATGGAGACTACAAGAACCTGAAAGTGAGTATCTTAGCAGTATAGACCAGAGAGGGCAGAGTGGGTGACGGCTGAGTGCTTTGGTAGAGAGTGATTGAACAAGGTGGAGCAAGGGGACTTGAAGGGATGAGGTCCTGGCAACGCAGACCTGATAGACAGAGACTGAGAGAAAGAGAGTCTTGGCAAGATGGACCCGAGAAACCAAGGATGCCTGAGAGTCCAGCAGTGTAGACCGGAAGAAAAAAGAAAGAGGGAGGTCCTGTCATTGTGGGTCCTGGAAGAGTTCTAGCCACAATGTGAACTGAGGAGCAAAAAGTGGGTCTTGGCAGTGTGGACGAAAGGGCTACCTTCCATATCCGAAAGTCACGTTGTATTAGTATTTCCTTAAACAGAATTATTTTTTAGAAACACAGTTTTAAAGATGAATCAATTTAATTTTTTTTAACTGAGGGACTTTTTTGTGTGTGTTTTGTTTTGATTGTTTCTCAAGAAAAAGGAAACTGGCAGAAACAAGAGCATGTGTGAGAGTCTCTACAATAACAATCCCAATCCCCTGCTAAAATGTGCTGGTGCCCAGTTCAGGACACTCTGCTCTTTCCAGCCCATCATCTCCAGCAGAGGGAAAATGGCCAGAGCTTCCCTGGTGGAGCGCTTCCCAGAGTGGCCCATGGGAACTTCTCAGGGAAGCATGCAAGCTTTTAATGCTTTCATGACACAATTAGGTCAAATATGATGGGGTCACTTTTGTGTGAACTGACTCAAGGAAGGAGTACATGAAGAAAGGCCTTAGGGAGTAGTCTCCACCTCCCTCAAAAAGGACTCAGTGTCAGGGTCTCCCTTCAGCTATTAGGAAAGAGGAGAACAATATTTCTGGTAAAATAAAACGTGACATTACACAATCATAGAGAAGTTATTGGCCTCATGTGTGATAGAGACTTAGAAAATGGTTTCAGAGTCTGAAAACAAAGCAAAAAGAATAGCCAAACTCGGGGGGAAACAAACAAACAGGGAACCATCGCTGGGGACCAGGTGCCAAGGACAATGAATTGGTGTGTAAAAAAACCCTTTCCTTAGGGGCCCTTCTTTGCCTTATAAACCAAGGTGATGTACATTTCCAGATGTTCATACCAGCCTCACTATCAGATAATTGTAAAGAAATTTGACCATTAAAAAATTACCTATAATGTCTAGTGTTCAAAAACATAATTTTTGTTTTGTTTTAAAGGTTCAGGCTTGTTTCTAGAATTTTTAAATTCTGCGGAATTTGATTTCAAAGTTCTTTAAAGTTGCATACAAGTGATTCATCCATTGGAACCTACCCGAAATCATTTTTTTTTCCAATCCTATAATTTTAGGGCCTGTGACTCTTGTCATATCCAGGGAGAACAGACTGGTAATGTTGGAGCTTTATGAGTAGTTAATACTGCTTGACAAAAATCATGTCCTGATCTAAGCGTCCACATGGTAGGATGTGCAGCTAGCCAGTGTTCTCCTGTTTTATCCAGGGCACTGTAGTGTGGATGATGCCGTTCTCAAAAGCTTCCCCCCTGCTTACTTAGCATCACACTTAGTAGGTGCTTTGTTCGAGTAATACGATTTCTCACTCCTCGTAGAGATTGTTCCTCGAGATCTAAGGATGAAGGACAAGTTTCTGAAACATCTCACAGGTGTGTGTTCCCTTCACTCCTCTGCCCTCCCTGCTCCTTTTTTGCCCTGAGTCTTCGTGACTTTCTTCCTCTGTGTTCCAGGTCCTCTTTATTTCAGTCCGAAGTGCAGCAAGCACTTTCACAGACTTTACCACAACACGCGAGACTGCACCATCCCTGCATGTAAGTGAGCATCCAGCAGGCAAATGGCGCTCCACTGTTCCTTTGCAGGGCAGCAGCTCTGCCTTTTGACAGGTGCGGGGGCCTGCGTGTCCCTGCCTGACTGGATTGGGGCAGGGTGCCTAGACATTGGAGCAGATGGTTTCAACTCTGCAACAACCAGTACCATTGGAAAGTATTTACCCCGTGATAGCCCGTCCAAACCCTTCCTTTCACTCACATTCCCATTGTGTTATGAATTCTGGCTCAGAATCCATATTCTAGTTTATTGGCCACCACACAGGCTAGGTGAGAGATGCTCAGGTGTCTACCGGTGGTCAGAGTGTTGGGGTACAAAACAGTCTGGTTGGCCTGCAGTTTTCCCATCAAACATAGTTTGACCATCCCCACTGCTCTGACCAGTGCTGTTTTCTTTCCATTAGTAATAAAACCCTCATCACTCAAGAATTTGATTTGCTCTTCTAAAAGCTGCTCTTCTGGCTGTCCCCCTTCAGCTCAGAGACACAGGGCTCGTCCATTGGCCCATTCCTCATACGTCTGCCTTTTCCATTTCTTTTCATTTTCAACATGATTCATCTGTTTATCTGCTGCAGTATATTTCACTTCTCCAAAATGACTCCTTGCACTCTTCATAAAACCATTTTTTTAAAAAATGAGATGATTTTCACAGGGGGGAAGCCATCCAGACACACCAGGATCTGCCTGGCTGCTTTGAGAGAGGCTAAAGAGACTGAAGTAGCCTTCCCTGCTTGACACAGACATGGAGTAGGAATTTCTCTGTTTAGGCAGCAGAGCTTCTCTGAAAAAATGATGCCCGTCATTTACAGACTGCTTCTGTATGAGGGACATTGCTAGGTAGGTTCATGGCATCATATCCGTGGGTCTTGACCCAGCAAGGTGGTCTTACTAGCATGTTCCAGACATGGTCAGGCCTGTAGCCCAAGATGAGCAAACATGCTTCCTGTAGAAGCTGGTTTTTCATGTGAACATGCCATGTGGACCCCTTGCATCCTTATCTCCCCTGCTTTCTTGTGCAATGAAGCTATCTTCTGTTTGAGAATTACTACCTTGCTTCTTGGGGACTCAGAATCTTTTTATTGTTTAAGTGTGAATCTATTTTGTAATAAATGTATCATACAATACAATAACATGATTCTAGATTCTAAATTTGAGCATGACCTAGCATTCCAACCCATTCACTTAGAGATTAGGAGACAGAATTTAAATTGCTTGTGCTGGAGATATCAAAAGTCCAGGCTCAAGCCTCATGCTCCACCCTGCAAATTCTCTTCAGGCTTCTCCCATGTTGTCATGCTCCACATTGCTGCATCCTTGGGTGATAACATAGAATGACTCAGGTCACAGCTTAAGCTGTGTCCCCAGAAGTGGAATGTTGACACATTTGTGCTTTGAGACAATTAGTTACACCCATGTCTTTTTCCATAAAGAAAAGAATGATAGCTCTTCTAGGATGCTTTAGGATGTTCAGAAACTCGCAGAAGTCCTGGGGTGCTAGAGTTGATATGGACCATAGAGCCCAGCCTTCCTGGGCAGCCAGAACTTGGTGGAGGGAAGAACCAAAGCTCTCTTATTCCTGATAAGCAGAATGTGCTCTGCTTTCCATGTCCATCACTGGTGGAGGAGCATTGCTGGGGACTTGGACTGAGTGAGATGGGAACACTGGAGTCTCTGAGCAGATTACAAATGGAAGCATGTACAGTTTGTTCGCTCACTCCTGAGCTCAAAATCCACTCCACCCTGGTACAGAATCTATTCAGGAAAACTACATTTCAAAAACTGTGGAGGAGCAATAAAGCACAAGTCTAGGTGACCAATCATGAGCAGGTTAGGCTGTTTTCCCTCTCTGAGCCTAACACACATGTAGAAGCTGACTTGTGGGGACCGTGTGAATATTTGTCACTCATTTGGTTCTCCATCGAGGATGAAAGCCTCCCCTTTGGAGGAGTTTTGCTAATTCTGAGAAATAAACTTTAGCGGACCATAAATTACTGAAGCTTTTCACAGAATTTTGTCCTGAGGAGACTCTGCTAGAGCTGTGGGAACTGAACTCCCTCTATGGTTTTGACGGCGCAGAAGAATGAACTGTGGGGTCACAGGGAGCAACTGTGAACACCAGGCTTTGCTTGAAATATTACTTTTCTTTTCCAGCCTACGCTTGAAAACCTGCTTTTAATTTTTTTTATTCATCTTTTTCTTCATCATTGATAATTGAGTCTAGAGCCTCCCCCAGGCACTTATCAGTGAGCTATACCCACCTCCATCTCTTATTTTTTTACTTTTTTGGGACATTGTTCTTGTTAAGTTGCTCAAGGTGGCCTCAAATTCATTCCATAGCCCAGGCTAGTATTGAACTTCTTATCCTCCTGCCTCTGTTTCTCGCATAGCCTCCTAACTGGATCCAGTCTGCCTTGCTCCTTTTGACCCTCTTTCTTTTTAATATCATGGCAAAAGTCTGTAAGCCTCATCTCAGGTGGAGACTTTGTCTGCATGCAGTCTGCAAGAGAGTTCACACAAAGGCATGTTAAGAGCCTATCTCACTAGAAGCAACAGTAGGGGCATTTCCGTGACTCTGTCAGCCACACTTCCGAGGATGCTGTGTCTGTCGTCTCTGTAGCCCTTATCTGATTTCTGCTTGTAATGCCAATTTCCCCCTGAAGTAAGTAAGCAACTTAGAGCTCACAATTTCAAGTAACAAACTCTATTGCTTCTAGGGACTTCAGAATATTTTTTTAAAAATGGTGGTTAGAACACTTTATATACTTGCAAAAAGTCAGCCTATGCTTAATTTTAATATTGTGCAGGAAACTGACAGGAGTCCATGGTTTGTTTTCACTGCAGACTATAAAAGATGTGCCAGGCTGCTTACACGGCTGGCTGTCAGTCCCATGTGCATGGAGAGATAAGGTAAGCTCCCAGACAGACAATCGAGGTGACCACACAAGTGTCAGAATCCCACGTCAGTCATAAAACACACACACACACACACACACACACACACACACACACACACTTAGATTCAAGCATTCTTTCACTACAGTAGCCTGGCTCTGAGCAAGAGACAACCAATTTATCTCAAAACATTGGCCATGAGTAGAAGGCTCCCCCTGCTGGCTATCTACAGTGGACATTGTTACTGGCTCTTACATAGCCCATAGCTGACTGATTACTACAGTTTAAATCAGGACACATGTTTCAACCCATTGCTGTTGACTTCTAGATTGTACTAATTCACTGACATTTATGAACACAAACTCCCCTTCAGAATTTATTTAACAAGCAACATAAGAATGTGGCAGGCTAGGACTGTGGTTCCCTGCTGCCCGGCATTACACTGCATGTTAGCCCATAGAAACACCACATTCAAACACTGAAGCGTGTGGGTGGGGCATAGCTCTCAGAGGAAGAGCACTTGCAAGCATATGACCCCGAGTTCAAATCCCTATAGCCATGTCAAGTGCCAGACGTGGCAACAGACACCTGTAATCCCAGTGGCCAGACAGGAGGGTCACCTTAGCACCAGTCTGAGAGGCCCCTACTTAAAGGACTAAGGTAGAGTGTTACATGACAGGACACTCAAAATCCTTCCCTGACTTCTGTGTGCATACATGAGCATGCGCATCTGCATACACATATGTATATAACACACACAAACACACAAAATGTGTCAAATGTGCATTTTTTTTGCACCTTGGTAAAGTAATGCAAATTTTAAGTTAGACTATACTATTTGTTACTAACTACAGTCACATAAATGTTATGTACCTGGTGAAGGCTTGGAGTCTTATCATTATAGCAAAAAACTAATATAGCTAACATAAATGTTTCCATGAGTGCTCACCCCTAATGCCCAGTGGAAGCAATGTAAATGCAGTATGAGGTTGTAACTGTACGCTGGCCTCTGGATGCTCTCATCTCTGTTGCTAACAATGTATAGGGGGAAATGGCTCTACTTCCCAACACAGATTCTACAGTACTCATTCTTCCAAGACTGACATAACTTTAACCAGTTCTGTATTTCTGTGTCATGAGTGTGTCAGGTATTATTATGTGGGGATTCACACCACAAATAAGACCTACTTCCTGAATGCAAATGGCTGTTTCCAGAAACCATGCCTGCTGTTCAGAAAATACAAATAACAAGTGGATGCTGCGTTTATTTTAGTAGGTGTTCTAGTTTGTCTCCTAAGAATGAATGAGAACAGCTGTCTTTTCTATACAGACATGCTCAGTACAACAGCAGCATCATGCAGAGGTAAACCTTGGACCTGGCTGGGTCAGTAGGGCCAGGACACAGCAGCCCCACAGTGTTGGCACAAATCCTCACAATCTGGGTTGATATATCAGGACCAAGAACCACTAAAAATAAGAGGCTCTCTACTAATAGTGAAGAGAAACAGTGGGGTTTGCACAGGCACGCTGACTCTTCCTGGACAAAACAAGTGTGTTTATGCCACTCAAAGCTCAGAAGTACATGCCTTCTTTCCAACATTTTCAATTTGTTTAACCACTACATTTACAGCACACAGATATATACATACATATACATTCATACATACATACATACATGACACACATGTATAGTGGTGCTGGGGAGATGAAAATGTCAGCTCCATTATGTCCTTTGGCAAGTATTTCCATTTACTCAGGAGCATGCAGAGAATGTCCACCTATCCACTGAGAACTTCCTTGCCTTTGGTACCACCTAGCATCCTGAGGGCTGACTGCTCCTGCACAGGATTCAGTTTCCCCAAAAAGCTAATCCGCCATCAGTCCACTGCATTCATGCGCCAGCTCTACCTGATCTGTCTACCAGGTATCCGCAGCACATCCGTGATTGCCCCGATACAGATTACAGAAAACAGCCAGGAAAGGGTGAGGCATGCCGAAGACATGGCACGGAGCAGCCGCAGTAATCACACACTGCCCTCCGCTACATGGGTTGTGTTATCCAACAGGAACTTGACAGGAAACTGCAACACAGTACAGGGTAGGAAAATTCACAAACATTTGCACCAAAGGCTGCCTTCTTCAACAGTCACTTGTCCAAAATGAGTAAGGTTCAGTTTGTCCAAAATGCGGGGAGCAGTTCAGAACACTACTATCTCTACCAACAAGTTTAAAAGTTTTATTTTTTAAAGATTAAACTCTTTGAAATCAGAAGGGTTTAAATTGATAGCAAACCTGTATCTAGTGGTCACCAGTATAAACGGGCCGGAACAAGCATCATATCTCACAACAGAGAAAACTGTGAGCACACTGGTTCACAGTAGCCTTCTGATCAGTCCAGTTCCCGTCTTCTTTCTTCAAGACGACTGGTCTAGATTCCTGTCCCTGCCCTTGCCAAAAGACTTAGGGGTAGGTTTTACAAGTCCTAGAAGACAAGCAATGCTCAAATTCAAGAGGTTTCCTTGGGAAACTCAGTAACTGCCCTCAGAGCAGAGAAAGCATATTCTAAGTCACACATACACCTATTGTTGAATCTACAGGTCAGTTAAATGAAAAGCCTGAATTCTGCGATACTTTTTAAAGTATAGACTTGAGTACGAAGCACCTAAGTACCTAGTTTAACCTGAATATGGCCCAGTAACCTTGATGTTACCTTTCCTTTAGAACTCAAACAGGTATTTTAACAAGGGGTGCTAGAAAGGGCTTTGATGAGATAATGGCTTTACTTTGTGAACAAATGGGTGTCAGGCAAGCAAACTCCTTCCTGGAAGTGACACACATTGCAAATCTGTTGGCTGAATATCCAAGAAACTCTATCATACACGTTAAGACCAAGAACTGCAGTTAACCTGAGCAAGTATTTCTTCACCCATGTGCATGGTGGCTTTCACCCTTAGGTAGCGAACACAAGGCAACTAAAGAATTACGTTGTTTCCCAGGTGGGAGTCGGGGAAGGACCTAGACTCTGAACAGAGAAACGCAGACTCCTTTATGAATGGGTTCTATTGCTGGACTCACTGGTCCTCTGGGGTTGGCAGTGAGGAGTGAATGGCTGTGTGAAATCACATGTCATTGTTTTCAGCTGCAGAGGAGCAACCCCGGGAACCTTGAAAAGTGCCTTGGAAACCAACAGAGAACAGAACATCTTCATGCCCATTTCCTGTGGACAGAGATTTATTTTTGCATTCTTCCATAATTCCTTTGCATTTTCTATGTCACTGACAGTTTACAAATACACATTCAGCAAATCAGTGTATCTGTCAGTGAGATTTGCCACTCTTAGACTGTAAGAACAGAGAACACTCCACATTTGATGTTTCATGCTATAAAAGGAGGTATTTCCATTTAAAGATTAGGTGGAACCTCAAGTATTTCTTTAGAAACATAGGCAGAACATTAAACTGTATTTTCATAGAGTATACAGTATGATTTGACATTTTGTATTACTTCTACAATTAAACTCCCAAACTAGAGTTTGGAACTGCATGAAAAATTTTAATGAAAACCAAAAAAACCTCACTTGTTTTGAAGAGCGGCATATCAGTCTGTGGATATGCCCAGGCCAGTCCCATCTGTCCTCTGTAAAAGTACATTCCAGGTATTGTACAATGTGTAAATACTGTGAATAAGTACAAAGAAATAAATCCAGTGTTTGGTATAATGAACAGTCTTCAGAGTGACTCTTCTGTAACAGTGTTATTGTTCAGTATGTATACACACATACATATGTATGTATCAGAGTGACTCTTCTGTAACAATATTATTGTTCAGTATGTATACACACATACATATGTATGTATGCAGAGGTGCCACTAGTACTAAATGACAGACTCCTGATTACTTGGTCTCACTTAGTCATCAATAAATACTCCAAGTAATTCATATTCATGACCTCCTACATGATTGTAAGAGAATGTCAAACTAAGAACCCTAACAACAGTTCCAAATTTTAATGGCTATATTTTAAATAAAATTAATTTGACTTAATTTAGAAAGATAAGTTTCTCTGTTCAAGAGCTCTTATAAACACACGGTGCTGTGTGGGACCAAATAGCCACAAAAATACCACATTCCAAGGATCCGCATCTGAGATAGACATGTAAAAAATCAAGAAAACAACAGGATTTTATAACACAAAAGAGAAATGTAAGATCCTGAACAACTACCAAGCTAGGATGGACAGATTGTGACTTCATCTACTTCCTTATTGTGGCCGGCTACTTGCCGTTCGCCTTCCTAGTTTTTAACTTCATGAAAACTATGACCAAAGATAATTAGCGAAGTGTCTGTCTCTGCGACGACATCATGACCTCTGTCTGAGACAAGGGTATTGGGATAGTTGCTGTCTTCTAGAGGGTCAAGTGTTTCATCTTCCTCCTTTGAGAGGGTAGGGTACGGCCCAGCAGATAACCCAGCAGATATACAGGTCTCTGTGTCCTTTCAAATATTGGGACATCTTTTCTCACTAGAAATTCTCCAGGATTGGAGGTGACGAGAGGTAAACCAGCTACATCAGGCTATAACAGACAGTTACACCTACTCAGTTACGATGCCAGAAGGCCCACAGGTAAGGATAGTTCTTGGAATCTCTTAACTGAGCATACATCACCAAGTGTCACAGCAATGTGCTTATATTTTCCATTACTTTACTTTCTAATATTGAGAATAAGTACCTAAACTTAATATCAGACCAAATAAAAAGGCACATGGAGGCAACGCTTTAAATATACTTTTTTCATTTGTCAATAAAAAAAGCAGGCAGACACCATTATCTCTACTCCAGGTGTATTTGTTAACTTCCCAGTTTACCTCACATTCTTTTCCGATATACAGCCATGAATCTGAGGTCACTGTCCTGCACTGCACTAGAATGACTTATGCTTGCCGGTAACTCTCTACAACGCTGATGGAGGGACACTACAGACAGACCACTATTTAAGCACACACCCCCTTTGCATTAAGAGGCAAAGTGGCTCAAACAGGACAACAAAACACTGGACAAAAACCAAATAAGAGTAACACTGCTAATTTCCTACATCTGTTGCTCCCATCGTCAGTGTGCAGCCCAGGTCGGCCTGCTGGGAGTGCAGGCCTGTATCACCACATCCAGTTTGTCTTCAGTGTGTCTGAGTTTAAATCTTCCAGTGTTAAGTGGAAGGCTGGTATGGATGGAATTATTGTCACAAGAGTCTAGGATAGAGAGGTATAAGGCAAGCGAATGGCACCAATGGGTGCTGGCCATGCGCACACTTTAGTAAGACCAGACCACCCAGGCTGGCTGGGCTCAGAGGCCGACCCAGACCTTGTAGGTCATTCTTACTTTATTGGGCTCTAGTTTGTTCTGTATTTCCTTGTTCCACTATTTTCTAATTAGGACAAGGTGAGAGGAAAGGTTCAGTTAGTCTAAGAATACTTAGCCACACCTCACACTGTCTTACTCAAATATTTTTACCTTTCTGAACATACACCTAATTTCGACCTACAGATGTTTTAAAGATAAACAGTAAAGTCAGCTGAAGAGACAGGTGGGGCACAGGGCTAAGGACTGGCACCACCCTTGGGCACGGCTCTGGTGAGTGAGCTGCTCAATGGTGGTGGCAGGACCACCTAGTGAGTCTTCTCCAGGAAAGCCTTGCAGCACCTGAGGCATTGCTGGTACACCACTTCGAAGTCAGAGTCATTGCCCTGCAAGGACAGAAAAAGAATAACCAACAATGGTTTATGGTAACACTGTCCTCAGAAGACCCAAACCTGTCATTTAATACTACAGAATACATCCTGCCCATCAGAACAGTGGCCCCAAACCTGAAATGTACTTACATAATAGGGATCTTCAATAATGAGTTGTTTCTGTGGATCATAGCTCCCAAGTAGCTCAATTTTAGCTTTGCAGTTTTTAACTTGATTACTTTTTCTATTCAAATCTCTGTAAAATCGAAACATGAACTTAGATTTCTGATCTATGGTTTTAAGTTAAACAGGGACATCTGCTCGGGTTTATGAAATGTCCTATCAAGATACATCAGTGCAACCTGATGAGAAATGAAACCGAGCACTCTGCAGGCCTGTGGGCTCCTGCGGCTGACGCCAAAGCACTGACTCTCAGTCCCAAACGGGCATCTTTAAGTCACACAATTATTAGCTTTTCTTTTGATTTTGAAATGTATTTTGATACAATAAAAATGATACCATTTCAGACACATAAAATGCCAGGAAAGAACTCAAAAAACAAAACAAAACAATGTATACCGCATTCCAAGACAAAGGGACAGCATGCAGTATAAACTACGTTCAGGTCAAATGAAGACAGGAGCAAGTGGGGCTGAGTGCGAGGCAGGTGAGTGAGCCAGGTGCAGCTATGGCTGGAACAAACAGTTTAGTGGAAGGCATGGGGGCCACGGGGCGGCAGCTATGGTTTTAGGCCCTTCTATGCCCACCCACCTGTCTCGTGAAACATAGGGGAGTACCCTAAGTCCTGCAGGGGAGTACCCTAAGTCCTGCGTTCCTTGACTTCTTCTGGGCAATAAAGGGAATTTACTAATGAGGGGTGTGGCCCTGCAGGCCACATCAGCATTACAGAGCAGCCACTGCTACTTACCAGCTTAGCCCATCAGTGTTAATTAACGAAAATTACAAACCCAGTGAAGTCTGTCCTCTCATAGTTACTCTAGAGCGCTACACTCACAGGAAATAAGATACAAGATACTCCGCATCTGTTCCAGCAGCTAACAGAATCAGCGCAAATCAATGCGCCACCTCTACCTCTAGCCCCAAACCAGCTGGCCTCCAAGCTCGTTCATGGCAGTAGCTGGATTTTCTCTTTATTTGTAAACAGATCTCTGAGACAAACACACCCTACCCTCTGATATTCTTGGCTTTCTGGAAAATTCTGTAAATTACAATCAACCTTGTACATTAAAAACTGTAAGACAACAGAAAATCGTTTTGTACGACTTGCTGGGCCTATGATAAGAATGGAAGGCAGACAGAAACACTGTTTAACATATGATTGCCTTGTAAAATGGGCAGGTGTGGTGGCGCTCACCTTTAATCCCAGGCTGCAGGAGACAGAGGTGGCTGTGAGTTCCAAAACAGACAGGGCTACACAGAGAACCCCTGCCTCAAAAAACCAAATATATGTAAGATTACCTCAGATTGCTTTCATCCATACATAGGATATAATCGAATGTGGCAAAGTCTTCTTTTGTAATCTACAATTAAGAAGCCAAAACACAGTGATTACATACATACAAAACAGTAATTGGGAAAAAAACGTGTAATTACATGTTAACTCATGAACTAAATTACATGTTCAGTCATTAACTAAAAATTTAACAAAACAAGCAATTTAGGATATTTTTAAGTAAAATACTGTATTTCCAAATCTATATTGAAAAATAATTTTGTAGACGGTTCTTTGAAATAATTAGAAAATATGAAGTGTGAACATAAAGTTGACTGGTCCCTCAGTAAAGAAATGGAATTCTGTGGACACACGGAAGCGACTTCCCGCAATCGCCTCCACCGCTCCTTCTGTCACTCCTCTGATTATCTGGGGCCTCGGTCACACATTCCAGACTCTGGTGGGCATCCGTCATCCATGAAGGACAATAGAGTCTCCTGAATACCAAGCCAGGGAGAGGAGATACAAGCCTCAGAAGAGGGAGAGGAACTGGTTTTCAGCGGGTAGCAGCTCCACCAGGGACAAGAATCCATGACTTAACATGGAAGGGATCCCTCTAGGACTTCATCAGATGTACTTTTTTCTGCACCATAACGTTTAAGACATTTAAGTTCTCTTAAATATAGTTGAAGAAATTTATCTTCTAGATTTTGACTATCTGGAAAGCACCTGGGTAAAAGGAACAATGACTATAGCCAAACAATAATAAAATGGTCACCTGCATGTTACTCTATTAAAAATATAAAGTTTTAGCTTTTAGTATACACTTCTATTAACTTTTAGCATAGCATTTAAATAATTACAAAGGGCTGTATTATTTTAATATCCCCAAGACTACAACTTATTTCAAAGATATTAAGCAAATACTATTATATAAAATGTTATTTTTTTCAAGTTATGAGAAATCTTAGCATCAATTTTGAACTTACTGCAATTAATTTGTCCTTTAAAAAATGGTTAACGCTTAACAATTTATGGTGTGAAACTACACTAGATGTTTGGATTTTAAAATAACGGAGGAAGAAGAGCAGCTAGAACCTCATCTCAGGAAGAATGCACAGTAAAGCATTTCCGCATGCACTCACACAGGACATGGCATCTGACACCAACCCCATTACCAAACAGAATTAGAAAACCCACACCGAATAAGATTCTTCCTCAAGGTCATGAGCATGTTCCTAAGAAGACCTGGCTCACTACAGCAGCGTGGCGGAAACACAGCCACAGATGACACATCACCTCCAGGTGAGTTCCCATGCATGGACCTTACCTGCTGGTCCCAGAGAGCGCTGACTGGACCCTACCCAGAGCTCTCCCAAGGGCTTTTTAACTCTCAAGTCATTAGTCCAAGAGTTCTTTAACTCTCAAGGCATTCAAGCCCATG